CAGTAGGTAAACACAGTGTCACCTCCAACCAAATCGGGAAGCAGGCGAGATGAGAGAACCACAAGCCTAGGACTCCCATGCGCCAAGACCCGGGCTGCTCTGGAGTGGATTCTGTGCTGGGAATTGCTGCGAATTGCTAGTTTTAAGTGTTTGGTTGTTGCTGATTTGCCTTGATGGCTCATACTCTGAAGAAACCTGCAGTCTACTGCTAATTCAAGGAAGAAGCTCAGCAATCATGACAATGGGCTTCCTTAATGCTCAATTAATTTCCTCCTCTACTTCCTTTGCCTCTCTGCTTTGCTACTTAATAAAGGCCATATCAACAGTGCAATCTCCAAATCTGAATTAAACTGCTCACGGCATCAGTTAGTTCCCTTTAAACAGCCCCACAAAATTCTTGTCTGATGTCCTAGGCAGCGAAATCTGTCCTTCAGCTTCTGTTTGGTTTGGGGTGAGGTATTTCTTTGTTTTTGCAGACGTATGGGTTTTTGGGGAAAGTGTCCTGAAGGTAGTTCCGAGAAGTCATGGGGAAATCAAAATGACCTCATTTGTCCATACCCAATTCAAACATCTAAATGGTCTCATTACAGAAGGAATCTTGCCAGCTATCACCAACCATGCCTGCGAAGATGGAAAAAGCTGAGATGAAAATTGGAGATAAAGCATCTGATGAATCAATAGTTTCAACCTTTTCACCCTCCAAGCACTTTAACATCCTCACGTGAGCTAGCTGAATTGACAGACATCATTTTAGCTTCTTTCCTTTTCCGTGTGGCCGCGGTGCAAAAGAAGAGTTCAAAGGGCAAGAGAACCACAACTGAGAACCCACAGCACGTGTGAAACATACTTCAACAGTGAACAATTTTTTACTATATCTGAAATGCAAATGTAGTGAGATTTCCTATGTTTTTACTTGCTGAAATCATTATGCCACGTCTGGTGCCTGCAACACCGCTGATCCTCAGTAAGTACATGGAATGAGTATATGTTACTCTACTAAGAAGTGGGAGATGGCTGAACAGGCAGAATCCAAACTCAGCTTCCCTTCTATGCAAACCAGGACCTAGGAATGACCTCTCTTCATTTGGAGCATGACAGACTGCGGAATTTCAGAACATAAAAGTTCACAGCATCACGCCAGAAGTTCTAAAAATTTTGACAAACAGTAAAGGGGTTTCACAGAAACTAAACAGGAAGGGGTTTTCACAAAGAAACACTCAAATCAGACCAGAAACGATTTCCAAACAACAAGACTGGCACCCAAAAAACCAAAAAGATGAATCTGCATAGAAGAGGTCCTAAATCTCTGGGCACCTATCCCAGGCAGTTCCTGCTGTTGAGTTTATGACATCTTTACTGCACCTTCTTCTCCCATGAGCCCAAAATGAGGAAGCTGTAAAACCCTGGCCAAATACAACCACTTGCTAAGAGAAAAGGCAACATGGGGCCCATCTGTCCTTTACAAGTGCTCTGCCTGTCCTGCCTTTGTATGGCTGTCACCATTTACAGAAAGCAACCACCTGCCTCAGAGCACCTGGCTAAGGCCTTGGCTGGGTTTTTGTATCTTCCTGGAAAAAACTCTTATTTGAAGCCTCCAAGGCAACTCCTGCAGAGGCTGATGCTCTTCTCTAGGCTTAACCACAAGTCCTTCCTTCATGGCCAACATACTGGATTGTGGTTATCTGTTTACAGCCCACAGGACAAGGAGCTCTCCAAGGGCAGAGCCTCGAAAAAGGCCTTCCACATAATCACCCTCATAAACAGCAAAAAGTGAACCTCTCTTCTGATGGGAACCCCAAAACAAAGCAGTGAGGGGGGGAAAAAAAACCCAATCCTGAAATCACTGTCCAGTGCTGGACACATTCACCATCTTATGATAAGAGATGGAAAATATCACCATGTGGCTTCAAACCACAAAAAGATTTCTGTGGAATTCAAGAAGCCCCTTTAGCAGTTCTAATTTTAGGCAGAACTTCTAAGCGAGGATAGTGATGGCAAACACAGGTGGGAGGCGGTGGGAGGAACTGAACAAGGCCTCTATTCTGCTCAGCACAGGTGCTGGTAACAGGACACCCGGTCTAAAGTGACATTTGGGTGGAGGAATCAGGTGCAGTTGGGGTATTTCTCTTGCCCCAGTTACGTTATGTACTCCTAGCCTAGTACAAAGTTCTCCCACAGCAGGCCCGGTTCAGCTCTCAACATGCTGATTCTTGAGCAACAAGGGTGAAGAAAGTATTTGATTTTAGACATCCAACGTAGTTTTTTTTAAAAACCAAGTTAATTATTAAAAGAAGAAAGACATCCACAGGGTGAGCTGTCCTCAATATTGGCCAGCAAAGTCTCCTGGTCTTCAGAACTCTCCAGATACCATCAAAATCGATATTGGTTCAGTGACTCAAAAGCAAAGGCACAAAGCTGCTGTTTGAGACATGGAGCCCTCCCTTCCCAGGAATCTCCAAAAAAATTCCAAAATTTCCTTGATGCAGTCAACACTGTCTACACATGAGAAGGCAGTCAACAGTCACTTCCAGACTCCTGTTCCCCAGACAAACCAGCTATGGACCCTTCCCTCCAGCCACATGAATACCTTCTCTCCCCTTTCTTCTGGAACCAACTCACAACAGCCAATTTGATCAGTGATTTACTAATTTGCGTGGATGGGAGGAAAGGCAGCCAGTAGGCGATTTTGCACAAAAACACCGTTCATTAGTGACCACCACCACAGCAGGGTAGAATAAACGAGAAACAAACCACCAGGCTTCCTCTCGTCAAGGAATCGATACGTTATTTACTAGCTGCTGTTTGCTTTACATGGTGCTGTTCCCCGGTGGAGAAAAAGTCAGGATTTCTTCTACACCTCACCCCCTGAAAAGGATAAAACACACGCCCTGACAGCCAGCCAAGGACTTAGAGGAAGCATCATTAGAAGAAAGCACAAAGAATCTGCTCTCTCTGGCTTTTCCATGTCTTGTGATTCTTTGGTTTCAGAAGATGGATAGTGCCAGGCCTTGAGATACTCCCTTTTTTTACTGTTTTCTTTTTTTTTCTCCAAAGAGGAAATTGACTCCCTTCCTGTGCTGCTATACTTTTGAAGAATCAAATGCTACTAATAAAACCACTTTCCTTATCCTTTCCTCACCCACTCCAACATCACTTCTGAGAAAATAACCTAAAAATTTTTTTATCAAGACGGCATTCCAAATGGGTTTCCAACATTTACGCTTTTCCCTCAGACCAAACAGAAAGAAGACCAAAGGCATTATAAACCCATCACGGGAGTTTAAAGAAGAGAAAAAGAGGATAAGCAGGTCAGTAGAAAGTCAGCTGATTTCAGATATTAAAAACTGACTTTTTTGTTACTGGTGACCTCATGCACCTGCACACTACACTGCTTAACCCATTTGTTCAAACTTAATAATTTTTAATTTCCATTTAAAATATCACTGTCATCTAATCCATGGTGAAGTCTTTTAAGAAGTCCCAGAAAAATTCAGGAATATTCTTATGCATAAACAATCTTCAAAATCAGACACTCCCTCTCTCTTTCTCCTCTCTAGAGTCTCCAAAAGTCTAAAATTCTGCAGAACCCAAGGTATGATTTAGTCTCCCACTCCACCTTGCTTTTAAAATTTTACTGCCAAAAACAAAACAAAACAAGAAAAACTTTAAAATAAATGATTTCCCATATGATATTAAACAAACCTACTAAACTCAAAGGGAAAGAAGTCAGGATACAGAAACTCTAGATTCCGCTGTGACTGGGCATTAAAGAAGATGTCTTTATTTTTAACTGGAACCATGCAGGGGAAAAACCACCACCTTGGCACCCGTGAATCCCCAGCCAGGGCATACTTCCATGCAGCCACAGGATGGCAAGTGAAAAGCAGGACAGCCCATCCTTTGGGCCGGTCACCTTCTGAAAGGCTTTCAATTGAAACCAGTGAATGGGAAGAACCAAGCCTAGATTCTGGATTAAAGAACAAAGAAAAAACTCCAGGTGTGACCACTCTGGGACTGCAGTGGACAGATCCGTCAGATCACTGGGTTCCCTAACTACTGAGGGGTGGGAAATACCCATTTGTCTCCTAATAAAACACAAGGACTTTACCAACCTATTTCAAATTCCTCCCCACGAGATCAGAATACACCATGAGTGCCTCAAACGAAATCTGTTTGACTCTAGGATGTGTAGAAGAATTTAAGTTTAAAATGAATGCCAGAGCCCAAGGAGGGAGGATCATCTCTGTCTCAAAAGACTACTTCATGAATTCAGTGTGCATTGGGGGCAACAGAAGAAAAGGGGCTTTCTTTGAATAGGGAATAATCTATCTAATTCCAAGTGTCTGGATTATAAGCATTCCTGGGCAAGCAGAGTCTGGCTGCAGATTATGCTACACTAAGGACAATTTCTGACAAAAGGCACGAGATCTGTAGAAGGATTTCAAAATGGACAAAACCAGGACAGAGGGACCTTGGTAAAGTTCACCCTGGGTGAGGTGGCAGTTGATTTTCAAAGGTGGAAGCAGGCCATGACAGCTGAACATTCTTCCCCACAGTCCATCTCCGAGGCACGAAGCCTCTCTAAACCTTACACTCCATCAGACAAAAGCTCCTCCAGGAGCCCAGGCAGAGGCTGAAGAGGGGCTGTCCACACCCACTGGCTGCACAGCTTTCCAAACCTGCCCACTCGTTTTGGAAGCGAGCTTTTAATTAAACACCACCTCCCCGGATCTGGATCTGTTGAGGCAAACGGGCTGGGCCAGAGCCAAAGAGAAGCTCCCTAAATACATATTAAAAAAATAATTTCCCCCACCGCCCCCAATTCCCACCTCCAGCCAGATCGCGCGGCTGGTTATATTTCCTCTGGATAAATAACACGGGGCCCTGGTCTATCTCTATGCACCAGAAAATCCACATCCGAGGATCAGGTTATCCCCAGTCCCACCCTTTGCAGGAAAAAGCCAGGGTGTTGTTCCCCGCCCCCCCCACGCGCGCGCGCGCGCACACACACACACATGCACGCGCTCACACACATAACCATCTTCACAACCCTTCCAAGAGAAAACCTAGAGTGTGTGTGTCCGTTTGGGTCTGGGAGGGCGAAAGACAGTTGTTTTGGGGACCCCAATCTTGCCTAGCGTCTCAGCTGGGGGGAGGCGGGGTCCCTGCAAGGCTGCCCCGGGAACTCCGGCCCCGCGTCCCGCAGGAGGGCGGAGGGAGAGCACGCACACTTTCGCCAGCTTCCAAACGGCCCAATTAATAACTAATTTGCCGAGATCCCCCACTCCAAGTAGACCTGACGGCCAAGAAAGGACTGGCTTTCCCTCTCAGTCTCCTAGGCTGGAGGACTCCTTCCTGCAGCTGGGCAGAGCTCCCCTCCGTCCCCACCACCGCGCCAGGCGCCCCCACCCCGTGCCCAGGGGAATCAGGTGTCCGCCCGGGCATCCAGCCCCCGCGGGACCCAGACACACAGTTCAGGGATAGACAATGGAAAACTTGGAGCCGGTGCCCTGAGCCCCCGGGGAAAACAGCTGGTGCCACCCCCCGGGACAATGAGCGGGGAGACGGAGTGGGACAGCCGACACCCCCCAGAGAAGCCGCCGGCCCAGTGACCCAGCAGAGCCCGGAGCAGCGCCCCGGGTGAGCAGGTGACACTCGGGCCGGGGAGCTCCCGCAGGTGGCCCGTGGCCACCACGCAGGGAAGGGCCGGGCGGCCGGCCTGGGGTGGAGGGAAAGCGCGGCGGCGAGGTCGGCGCGCGGCAGCCGGCGCCGCAGCCGCACCCCCGGCGTCCTACCTTCATGTCGCTGATGATGGTCTGGAAGAGGCCTCCGAGCGCGCTGCATTCCTTCTCAATCACAGCCTCCATTTTCCCGGCGCCGGCAGGGCGAGGGCACACACGCGGGGCCGCTGAACTGCGCGCGGGGCCGGGTCTCGCTCACCCCGGGAGGAATTTCACCCTCCGGGAGACCCACCTCAGACTCGCAGCCTCTTCTGAAGCGAGGATGGGGTGCACGAGACCGTCTGTTCTCTGCCCAAAACAATAACAACAGTAATTTAAAAAGCCAAACTGCTCTGTAGGGTATTCGCCTACAAGCAGCGCTCGGCTCCTGGCCTTAAAAATGCCGGGAGAAGACTGACAATCAGGCCACCACTGGTGCCCACTACGGAAACGGCAAAGCCCATCTTGCTGCAGAGAAAATCGTCCGCTGACCCGAGGCTAAAGCCATTGAAAAATGCAGGATTTTCCAATTTAATAAGTATTTTTGCAATTTAAAAAAATCGCCCAAAAGCAGAGCGGGTCTGCTCGCGGCGTCCAGATCTGTTGCTCACAGCAGCGGCCGCCGCCTCCTTTTCACTCCTGCGCGCCCGGCCCCGGCGCTCGCTCTGGCTGGGCTCCCGGGGACGTTCGGAGGGGCGCACACGCGCTCGTGGCCGTGCGTCCACCGCGGGGGCGCGGGAAAGGCGCGCTCTGGCGGCGGAGCGTCCTACTCACGCGGGCGGGTCTGGGAGCGCGCGCACGAGAGGCGCGTGGGGCGCCCGCCGTAAAGAGGAGCTAGCTGGTCTGCCGGCGGGCGGGCGGGCGGCGCTGGGCGGGAGCCTCTTCCTCCAGTACTCACCGGGCACCCTCTCCTCCCCCTGCCGCCCGTCGCAGCGCTGAGGGCGTGTCGGCACCCGGCCTAGCGAGCGCCCACCCTCCAATGGCTGCGAGCACCCGAGACGGGGGGGGGGGAGCGGGGGCGGGGTGCACCGCCGCTCCCCGGGGACTTGCACGGGTGGCGCGCCTAGCCCAGAGCCGGCTTGTAGTGAGCGCTCTGTAGGGCGGGAAAGCTGCTGCTGCTGCTGCGGCCTTCTGAGAAGACACCCATTCTCTGATGTCAGGACTGCAACGCCGAGTTCTGATTGCAAATAGCCAAATATATAATTAAGGAGAGTTCGGGGCCATATTATCCTGCCATAGGATGCCTAGTTCGATAAAGTTGCAGGATGCTGGGAAAGAGGATTGATTTGCTCTTGCAAAATGAATGGAAACAGCGTTAGAGCTTCTGTCCACGGTCCATCAGTCTATCGAGATTGCTGACTGCCTGTGACTTGGACGGTTGATGGTTTTCAGGCCCACTGAGAGCAGTGGCGTTGGTATGACCGCAGGGAGCCCTCCTGGGAGGTTGAACCTGCAAAGAGCACAAATGTCCCCGGGTTGATTTGGGGACCTAGCGTTCCATTTTCACAGCTCCACTGCCTATCTGCATAGCCAGGAGCCCTCATTCAGATGAATGCCAAATGGGCCAGAGGGAGGAGAATCAAATGAGCAACTTTTAAAAGATCTTAAAGTAGAAGCACCTAACTCAGGACCTTTCCTTTGACCTTCGAACCAACCACTTGAAGCACCAAAACACAACAACAGGAAAAAGACTGGGGGGAGTGGGGCCAAAAGAAACCAAGTGCAAAATTGTCAGATTCACTCCCTAATGGGAAAAGGTCTGGCTCTGAAAACTTGATGGATCAAAGGGATGCATGGAGTTACATAGCACAGCTGCAGAAGATAATTTTCCTCTAGATCCCTCTGCCCAACTCTTAACTGCAAGCCGCCTTCCCCACCTGTCTCCCAGAAATCACCGTGAAGGGTGTTACCTTGGGAAAGTAACTGATCTCTTGATTGCTGGATCCTATCCCCAAGGGCATTCGAATGCATCGGACTGGGCTTCACCTTGCCAATACTGGGTGCTTGACACACAGTTTGCTACCAATCATTATTGTGACTTCAATATTCTTGGTATTTTAACGATCAGGATGACTGCTTGTAGAGCCAAATTGCCTGGCTTCAAACTCCACTTTACCACCTACCAACTGTACGCCCTTGGGTATGTTACTTAACCTTTCTGGGCCTCAGTTTTCTCATCCATCCGTAAATGGGGATAATGATGGCTCCTACCTGATAGGGCTGTTCTGAACGTCACATGAGCTAATCGATGAAAGCACTTAAAGTGGAACCTGGCATCTAGTGAATAATCATTCGATAAATTTTATCAGCAGAAGAAGCAGAGATGAGACCAAGGCTCATGTCCAGCCCTGGCCCCAGAATGCCCATTTCAGTTCTATAAAATTGGCATGCTGTCCCAGGGACATTGCTGAGGGTCCACTGTGTACAGTCGGGCATTTTACATGTATTATGGCTACTTGAAGGAAGTAATCATTCTGGTCCTCGTTTCACTGTTGGAAAGACTCCAACCCTCGTTTTCTGACTCCCATGCCCCAGGTCTCCCTTCTACCCAACCTCCAGAACTCCTGGAATAAGGGGCCTTAGACCGGTGACACTTGGTCCAGCTTTCCTGCCACATGCTTAAATTTCAGTGCCCCTAATACCCCAACTTTAGCAGTGTTGGCCAAGCACACCTCCCTTGTGGCCTTTTTTCCTGGGTCTCTACTGGCCTCAGGCCTGACCACCAGCCCCTTGTCTCTCATGAGAAAGTGAAGCATCCCAAAACTCTTTGAAGGGAACACTGGAGGCCAGGCCGGTGGCTCACGCCTGTAATCCCAGCACTTGGGGAGGCCGAGGTGGGTGGATTATGAGGTTAAGAGATTGAGACCATCCTGGCCATCATGGTGAAACCCCATCTCTACTAAAAATACAAAAATTTCCTGGGCATGGTGGCACATGCCTGTAGTCCTAGCTACTGGGGAGGCTGAGGCAGGAGAATCACTTGAACCCGGGAGGCAGAGGTTGCAGCAAACCAGATCGCACCACTGCACTCCAGCCTGGCAATAGAGCCAGACTCCATCTCAAAAAAAAAGAAAAGAAAGGATGTCCATAAAAGTGTTCCCAGACAAAGGAAAGTGGAAGGAAAACCTGACACGTTTTTTGGGTGGGGACAGAGCCTTGCTCTGTCACCCAGGCTGGAACGAAGTGGTACGATCTTGGCTCACTGCAACCTCCACCTCGGAGGTTCAAGCGATTCTCCTGCCTCAGCCTCCATGTTGGCCAGACTGGTCTCAAACTCCTGACCTCAGGTGATCCACCCACCTTGGCCTCCCAAAGTGCTGGGATTACAGGCGTGAATCACCACGCTGGGTCAGCTGTCATACATTCTTTCCTTGTTTTTAGATTCTTCTTTGTTTCTGGGTGTTGGGGACTTCCCTTCTTTTAGACTGGCTCTGCGACTATTTAAAGAGATTCTGATTACATTTTACCGACTATTTATACATGGCTGTGGCAGCAGGGGGGTTCAGGTTGTAGAATCTGCCTCTGTGACAATAGGGTGTCCCTTTTTTGTTGTTTACATGATAAAATGTTGGGTTTTGTGTAATGTATAATATTTTACACTTTTAGGTAAACTCAGATACCTCTGACAGATTTGAAATAACCAAATATATTTCTGAATTGCTTCATATAATATGTAAAAATAAGGTTTTCAAAAATAACATGCCTTTCCTGCTCTTTTATTGCTACTCTGACCAGACCCTTATCTTACTTATAAAATATATGTTTTTCTCATTCTGCTCATATGGTAGAGAAAGAGCTAAGCCTCAGAAGTCATGAGAGAGATCAGGTCCCGGACAGTCTTGGTTTATAACTTGCAGCAGGGATAGCTGCTCCCCTGACAGCCCAGTTCTCCACATCGAAGCATTGCAGAAGGGAAATTAGGCAGCAGGCAGCTTGGGAGCACATAAACAAAGCAAAGGAGACTGGATGCTCCTGGAAAAACAAGCGCAGCTTAGCACAGAGCACATGCTCAAGAAATGTCTCAGGAACGGAACCCAACCTGGTTCCTACCCCACTAGATGGCAGACACAAGGTCTTGGCGACCTAGAACCATCAGATGCGACCTCTTCTTCCTCAAACAGTCCTGGAGAAAGACAAAAGATTGCGACTTCTTTCCCCTTTCAGCTCTTCCCTGTGAAACCATCCCCACTATTTGACTCCCATTATTGGAAGCTACAAACTGGCCTACAGAGGAGTTTTTTAAAATTGGGAAATCTAAAAATATTTAGAAATTGGGAAAGTTCACCTCCCAGTACAAAGTTTCAGCACTTCCAGGAAGATAGGAACATGTGGCAATTAAGGGCTCACATTCCCACCTGGCCTAGGCCTGGGGGGCAGCTGGTCCTTGGGGGAAGAACTTGTTCTTTATGCCACCCCTCCCCACCCCTGTCACCCTCTTCAGCCTTGCTACTAATCAGTTCATCACCTTTCATTGGTTTCCTGCCTCAGTGACGCATTCCGGACACTGGGGTTATAGTTTGGCATTTTCCAGCCTGCCATCAACAAAACACATACAAAACATCTCTTAGGGTGAGTCACTATGACAGATACTTTTAATCGATCCTTGCTAATTTCATTTTCAAAAGGGGCCTGTTTCTAAATGGAAACTCTTATGCTGACTACTCCGTAATTTGTCTAAGGAATTTAATGACTCGGATCAGAAAGAATTCTCTTATAGGTGATCAGGGCAAGCTTAAGCCAATTTTGTTTCATAGATGAGCTATGGTAATGATCATATACAAATAACTAACATTTAGTATATACTTACCTTGTGCCAAATAGTATCCTAAGAAATCTCACTCGACCTTCACAAAGCCTTAGGAGTTAGCACTTCGATTATCCTTATTTTACAGATGAAGAAACTGAGGCACAGAAGGTGGG